GGTGTCGGGGATCGTGCTGCTGGCCGTGGGCGTCTGGGGCAGGGTGAGCCTGGCCGTCTACTTCTCCCTGCTGGATGAGAAGGCCACCAACGTCCCCTTCGTCCTGGTGGGCGCTGGCACCGTCATCATCCTCTTGGGCACCTTCGGCTGCTTTGCCACCTGCCGCGGTAGCACCTGGATGCTCAAGCTGGTGGGTGGCTCTGGAGAGGGTGCAATGGGGTCCTGTCGCCTCCTGACCCATCCTGGCACATCCCATCCTTCCCCATCCCATCCCCATCCTGTCCTGACCCACCCTGACCTGTCCTGGCATATCCCATCCTTCCCGATCCCCTCCCCATCCCCTCCTGACCCATCCTGGCATATCCCATCCTTCCCCATCCCCTCCCCATCCCCTCCTGACCCATCCTGACCCATCTCAGCATGTCCGATCCTTCCCCATCCCATCCACAGCCTATCCCCTCCTGACCCATCTTGACCTGTCCTGATCTATCCCGACCCGTCCTGACCAATCCTGGCATGTCCCATCCTTCCCCATCTCATCCCTCTCATATTCCCTTTTGACCCAGCCTGACCCATTCTGGCACGTGCCACCCTACCCCATCCCATCCCATCCATTCCGTCGTATCCTACCCCATCTACCTCATCCCAGACCCACCTCATCCCATCCTACCCCATCCCATCCTGCCCTTTCTGCCCACAGTATGCTATGCTCCTGTCCCTCATCTTCCTCATCGTCCTGGTGGCTGCCGTCGTGGGGTTTGTCTTCAGGCATGAGGTGAGTCTGGGCAGCTGCTGCTGTCTCCTGGTGCTGCGGAGTGAGTTTGATGTTGGTTTTAACCCAAATGCAGTTGCAGATGTTGCTGGAGGGACAGAGGTGCTGCGGGGAGCAGTGCTTAGTTTAACTGAAATGGGGTTAGAACATCCCAAAGAGCAGCTGGGATCTGGTAAGGATGAGATCCTGCCTGGCACGGCACGCTCCCCCTCCACCAGAACAGGCAGAGTAGCCCTGGACTTTGATTTCTGGCTTGGGTCTGTCTCCTGCAGTAATTGTGGTAATTAGGGCTCCTCTGCGGGTTTCCGCGCCGGCGCGCAGCCTGCGTGGGGCAGCTGGTGCTGTGCCAGAGCCCTCGGGGTTCAGCTGGTGCTGTGCCCGAGCCCCCGGGGTTCCCTGCAGCA